TGATAAGTAACCATAAAATATCGAAATTATTACAGATGAATGAAGTATACAAATTATTTTGACATTTTATATAAAACAACAATATATTTTTTTACACATAAGTTTAGGGTTGATACAGTGCATTTAATTGTTAACATTAGAATAAAAAAAGATGATAAAAATAATTTATAGATTTTTTTTCGGAAGGAACGTTTTTTAAAACTGACTATTAATCAATTTATGATAGTTGTGTGTATTATAATATAACTAAACAGTGTGTGTTTGTTGAATGTTTCTCTTAAATATTTATTTATATTATTTTTGTTTGAAAAGTATTATGTCCTAAGAATATAATGAATAAATACCCCATGTTATGGTAAAGACAAGTATATTACGACATTATTCTTACAAGTAAATTAAAGAAAATTATTGAAAAATAATAGCCAAACATAACAAAAATCAAGCACTTCAGTAGAGAACTTTAAAAGTTTATAATTTTTAAACTATGCTTCGTCGGCAAATTGTTATTATATATTCTAAAAACTAATCGATTAAAATAAAAGAATTTCGAAAAATTTCAATGGGGTGGTAAAATTTATTTATGCCGAAACTCATATAAATTAGTCATTTTTACATTCGAAATTAAACTAACATTAGTTGCCTTTAAATTATGAATAATTTATTATTAGCATCTTATGTTACAAACAATTGTAAAAAAAATTTATTTGATTTTATAAATATGTTAAATTGTATTATTGCTTTAATTCTTTTACAGTTTCTTGATAATATTAAAAAGCTACGTACATTAAAAAGTATGCATTAATAACTTCTTAACATCAACGTTAGATTTTCACTCATAGAATTTTCGCAATTTTCTTCAATATGATTTTATTTAGTTATGTATTGTTGTTAATTGTTTTAATTAAAAATTTTACGTGTAAACAAATTGATATAATAAATTTATCACTTGAAGACGCATATAAACATATACATAAACATAAAGATTTGTTATCTTTGAAAATAAAATATAGTTATGTATATAATGAAGAAAAAATGACAGTCTTTGACAAAAATAAATACTATTTAAACGACGATATTGATAATCCTGTACCCTATAATCAACCATATAAAGGTACCATGCCTCGTTTAACATATTATATTCGTTCTAGAGGAAGAACCTTAAAAGACATCACAAAAGAAGCTCTATATTACCATTACGATCCACTTGAAGCGATGATTTGGCTAAGAAATATTATTGAAAGCATTGGAATTTACATAGTAATGCTATATAATATAATCACGTGTACTATGCTTAAAGAATTACCACATGAAAGCCATGTAATAAAAAATCATTTCAATAATGTCTCAACTATTTGCAATCTTCTCTTAAAAAATTTTAGAAATTATCGTTTGCGTACAGATCCAATAGATCAGACAATTTTAATGTTTAAAAAATATAACCAATCACAAAAAACATCAGATGATATTGAGCACTTTAATAAGCATTGTACATTTTTTTGCTCTCGTTATAAACATTGTGCATTTTTGGTAGAAATACCAAAAGTAATAGTTTTACAAGATGAAAAAAGTAAAACTGAATATAAACCACTAATTAATCCAAATGCTTTTGTAAATCATGTTGCAAAACACGTTTTAAAACTTTATGATGAAGATTAAAAAATACACTGTATTGTAATTTGTAAGAAAATATTTTCAATATGCTAAATACATTTTTTTTATACATAAATAAGTAAAATGTAATATATTAACTTTTAAATATTTTTGTGAAAAGTAATTAAAAGTTGTTTTGTGTTTTTTATTTATTCGAAATAACTAATCTTGATACTGTAAATAATTTACTATTGCCTATAATATATAACAAAAATCTTATATGAAAAATAGTAACCCTTAAAAGCATATAGATGCATTCGTGAAATTTTCAGTAATACAGTAATAACTTTTAAAAATTTTAAGTAGACTTATTTTAAATCCCCCCCCTGTGGGCAGATAAAGGGTCAGATTTACAAAAAAATATACCAAATGATAAGTAAAGACATCGAGCATCTATAAAAAAAAAAAAATTTACTTATCCATACATTTACCAAAAAGTTATAGCATTATGAAGTTAAAAATATAAAAAAAAATTATTTTAAAAAATCGTAATTTTTTATTAACATTGATATCTATTTTCACCGTGAAGACAAGTCCAGAGGTAAATTTTTTTTTTTTCAAATTAAATTATATTATATTACCTTTAATTTAAGATATATATAAAAGTGTCAGACCTTCCGAAACATTTTCAAAAGTTAATTTTTTGTAAAAAAGTTGTCATTTTAAATCCCCCCCTGTGGGTAGGTTAAGTGTCAGATTTACAAAAAAAATATACCAAATGATAAGTAAAGACATCAAGCATCTATAAAAAAAACAATTATATTGATATGTTATTTTTTGAAAAAATTACGGCAGTTTTTAGTAAAAAAAATTGAAAAATTTTCGAAAATTAACGATTTTTAAGAAATCCGTTCGGTGAGAGCTGAGAAAAAGTGGTAAGACACAAAAAAAAACAAAAATAAACACATCTTAGTAAAACCAATACCTTCTCAGCTTCGCATCGAAGCTAAAATGAAAATACTCATTTTTCAATAAAGATTTAGAATATATAATGAGACTGAACAGTAAATAATACAATGCAACATTAATTCTTAATATTAATATAAATTAATAGGATAATTAAATAGAATGAATTAGATTGAAGCAGAATTTGGATATGGAATAACACATGAGTGTAATTAGCGCATAATAAACCAAGTTTTACTGTTTAGAACCTACAGTGGGAGTCCTTTGTCCATGGTTGCCCTAAATTCTTTGGTCAGTACATTTCTGTGTACGACGACAGTATTAGAAAATATTTTATTTAAGTGATATGATTTTACTGTGTAATTCAGTATAAAAACAAATTTTATACTCCTATTAATTTGGATATATAATTTTAAAAAATTGTATTAGTAAGTTAAATTTTTTCAGTAGCGTAATTTTGAGATTTACGTCTCAAGTTCTAAAATTAAAAGGGTATTTCTAATATTTGGTGATTATAAGTTCAACAAGGTTAAAATTGTGTTCTTTTGACGTATAGACCATTAATATTCAAGTGATAGCTGAGAAAAAGGAACGACAGACATAAAAAAAACCATTTAGTAAAATATTTCAATATGAATAAGAAATTACTTCTCACTAGAAGAGACATTAATGCGGTCTTTGATATTCATTGAAGTTATTCAATCTAAATGTGATAAAAATCAATATTTTGATTATTTATCTGTATATAATATTTCTACATCTAACACCTCCTAAATTTTTACCTATTAGCAACTCTTTGTTCACTTTCGCACTTATTTTGTCTATGACATACCTATTTTGATTGTACATACAATATAATTTGGATATCGACTACTGCCTTTACTCTTCCTTTTCAAAATCCACTCATTTATAAACAAGTACAATCTCTGTCTAAGATACATGTTCAGAACTGATTGATTCACAGAAAATATATGAGATATTTAGTACATGTAATAACTTTAGACGGCAAAGTTTGGGTCATATATTTTATAAGTATTCTAACCATAATATTTTTAGTCAAATCCAATATTCAAATCATTCTTAATAGCATATGGAGGTAACTGGAATACTTTGGAATGGAAGTAAAACCTATACAGAATGATTATTTTTATCATAACCCACTTAATTACTTACAGAATAATAATAATTTAACACATTTTTTTTTATTATCTTTAGTTACACATTATTCTTGAATTTTTAACTATGTAATACTTTTTAAGTTCATCCCTTATACCTTGTAAGAGGGTCAACTTTGTTTTTTTAAATGGGAACAAATATTTTGAATTTAATAAAATGGTTGAATTTTTAATTTAATAGTAAATGGCATTTGAATTTTTAATATAACTTTATTTGTTTATAAGATATAAACATTTTAAGATTCAAATTTTTGAGTTCATATACATGTATAATACACAAGGGATAACAAATACAGGTAGCTAAATGGTTTTTTATGACATTGCTGTCACAGTCAAGGATTGCTTATTATCAATTATAACTATCAATAGATATACTTTTTTTTTGTCAGTTAGTGTATTTATAAACTCATAACAATGAATATATAAGTATTATTGGTTAATTTTTTTGAAGAAGAATGCAAAAAAAGCAAACAGTTTATTTCAACAATGTGAGCAAGCATTCATAAAAAATTTAGATCATTTATTTGATATTGCTCATGCGGATGTAAATAAATAAATTTATTAAAAAATTAATTAATCAATAATACTCTTATATTTTGTAAAAATAATTATTAATCATGTTAAAACAATAAAATGACCGCCCCAATGAAAATGTTACTAATTTTACTAGAAAATTAGTGGGTTTAGAATTAACGCGTATCCACTATTTACGGTTGAATCTGTGAAGCTTCACTGCACTACTATATATATATATTAGGCTGGTCTTTATCTACTAAGGCTAAAAAAAAAAATTGAACAAAACATAGCGGCACCCCCTAATTTTGTTTATTTTTAGATAATAATGATTTTTGTTGAGTGTCGTAAGATTTACTTATNTAATAATGATTTTTGTTGAGTTTCGTAAGATTTACTTACCCCCTTCGGGTGCCGAATGAGGGTTGAAAATCCACTGAATAGGGTGGTTTTTTAGTTTTCGGCTAATATCTCAACAACAAAAGCTCAAAACGAAAAGTTGTATAGAATAAAAATTATAGACCTTAATATTTTCTATATAAATTGTATCTTTACAAATTCCGGTAGGTTGATTTTTTTCCTCGCCAGGACAAAAACAAAAAAATATTTGAATAGTTCGGTACATCAAACAATTATAAAAGTATTTACGTTTACAGGGACAACTGATTATAATATATACAAAATAAATCATAAAAAGATTATTAAATATACTCTATAATATAAGTTAAAAAAAAATGCATTTTATAAATTAGCACACTAAGGTGTCAATGAAAGTACTAGTTTTTCTTTACATAATTGTCATTTAAATTAGAATGTTGCTGTCATCGATTTTTTTTTGTGATCTGGAAAAACTTTTCGATATTTCTGAACGACCTAAAACATGTTAAGTATAAATTAGTAATTTAGCAATCCGTTCTATATATTTTATTGCAATTTACTTGAAGTATAAATTGTTTTTGTGCTTCATTTTTCGTTAGTTTATCATTGAACTCCTCCATCAATTTCACACCCCTTTCAGCAGTGTCATTTACAACACGGATTGATTTAACTATTTTTTTCGCTTCTTGGTAATACTTATCACCTTCCCAATTCGAGGAGTCTAATTTCAAAAATTCTGTATCGATATTAAATCTTATAAAAAAATATCCCGAACTTTGTTCAAGCATATCTGTAAAAAACTCTTGTTTCAGAAACGTCTCCACATTATCTATTTTTAAAAAATATTTTTTTGGACCAAAATCGCTTTGATCTGATGAGTAAGTAGATAAATTATTTAAAATAATTTTTGCCATTTTATTTCGGATTTCTAACGAAACTCTATTATCAAATATTGAAAAAACAATACATTCTTGATTAAAGTACCACAAATGATTTAAAAAATTTTTTAAACACAAATCTGCAATAATTTTATCATCATTTTTATATTCATATAAAGTCCTTATTAAGTGCATATCGTTTAGTGGCGCTTCACATGATTGGTCAGCCATAGACCACGGCCTTATATAAATTTTTATAATAAATGCACATATTCTGCATATTGCAGTCTCTTTCGACTTGGATAATTTGAATTCTTGTTGAAGTAAAAAAATTTTCAAACAATAAATGCCTTTAGCCATCCATCTTGCTTGATGATAAGCCCCAGGTTGCCTAATAATAATACCTCCTGGTGGTGATCCTCCTAGAATTATAATTACAAGCTCTAAAAACTCTTTATAGTCATTTCTAGGATGTTTTTTCAAAATCGCCTCCTGACAAAATAATAAAATGTTTTCGCGTTTAGGAGATACAATATTTTCCAAATTTTTATTTGTATTCCAAATGCTAATATTCTTAGTATTAATATTATTCCAAGTACTTTTAAATCTTTTAAATAGGGCAATATCTGGGCCTGATGATACATGAAGTTTCGTTTCAGCAATTGCAGTTTGGAGAAGCAACTCGTAAACATGGTGGCGGCATGCAAGATATAAAATATCCCTATCTAACTTTTGTTCTAAAAGTGTACAAGACCCGTTTATACGCCCAGTATTCGATGCTGTTGTATCGAATACAAATGCTTGAACTTTGTCCAATAAAGACCACTTTGCAAGGTTATCATATACTGCAGATGATATTTCTAGCCCTGTTCCAGATGGTATTTGAGGGACACCAAGTAACTGCTCTAAATCAGGGCTAGTTATAATTACTGGTAGACGATCTACTTTGTCTTGACCAGTCAAATCGGGTAGTAATTTACCATCCCAGTGAACTACCACAAAATTAACTTTTTTGTTTAAAAAATCAGACTTTACCTTATCTGCGCTTTCCTTCCGAAAATGTTGCCGAATATTTTTAATGGATGTTCTATTTAAAATGTAATTATTTTGATCGATGGATAAACTATCAAGGCACGCAGATAGTATATGAACGGCATCACGGTCGCTAATTTTGCATTTGTCTAATGCAGCTGATAATCTAGGTGTAATTAACTGAATTGTGCCTCTATTTGTACCAGAAGGACCTGGTTGAGGTTCTTCTAAAATCAGGTTTTCATTGTTCAACTCCTCCGAACTTACTGACCTATCTGACAGTGTTTCAACTAAAACGATACCAATAAATAAAATTAAAAATCACGTGTATCTAATTTAAATATTTTAATTATGTTATATCTTAAATTACCTGAGAATAACTTTAAGGCTTCTGATTCATGTTTTCTTTTTTTATTCAATTCTTTTTCAATTTTTTTTTCTTTTCTTTTTTCTTTAGCATCAAGAACCATATCTACACCAAGCATACAACCGGGGCGTCCGGGGAGTCTCTGTGAGAGCAAAAATTTTCTATCTTCTGCAATACTTATTATATTTAGTGCATCTTGATGAGCAATATCGAAAAGATTATTTAGACTTTCTATATAATTTTTTTCTTTATTTTTTTGATGTTCGCTTCCATGGTTTTTACTTTTTTCCAGTGCCCTCCAAGCGTCATATTCCTTTTTCAACTTTTTTACACAGTGTGATTTATCTTTTGTTGGAATCCGTGCTTTTCTCCAAAAAATTAAACATTCCTCTATTACTAGTAGACAACTTTCAGACAACGTCATTTTGGCAAAACGCATGTTATAAAATAATACACGCATACAGTCACCTATGGAGGGTAATTTGCTGCCAAGAATTTGAATATTAGTTGGGCCAATTAAATAAATAAATTCTCGCGTCATTTTCAAATATCTCAAAAAAATTAATTAAGCTGAATAAATGAATAAATAAAAAACACTAAACAATACCAAAACGCATGAACCGCGGAACAAACGAGTAAAAAAAACAAGTTGTAAATAAAAGTGGCGAATGATTAGATAATAAATTGATCGTATTACTAAAGTAGCCAAACTTATCAAAATTTTCCAGTTATTGTGATCATTATCAAATAATGTAAAAGGTCTAAAGTGCAACAATGAACACAATAATCTTGCTTAGTGACAAAAAATTGGAAAATTTCAGCAATAAATAAACTAGATATTCACAACATGTTTAAATGTCAATTATGTAAAGAAATACTAGTACTTTCATTGACACCTTAGTGTGCTAATTTATAAAATGCATTTTTTTTAACTTATATTATAGAGTATATTTTATAATCTTTTTATGATTTATTTTGTATATATTATAATCAGTTGTCCCTGTAAACGTAAATACTTTTATAATTGTTTGATGTACCGAACTATTCAAATATTTTTTTGTTTTTGTCCTGGCGAGGAAAAAAATCAACCTACGAGAATTTGTAAAGATACAATTTATATAGAAAATATTAAGGTCTATAATTTTTATTCTATACAATTTTTCGTTTTGAGCTTTTGTTGTTGAGATATTAGCCGAAAACTAAAAAACCACCCTATTCAGTGGATTTTCAACCCTCATTCGGCACCCGAAGGGGGTAAGTAAATCTTACGAAACTCAACAAAAATCATTATTATCTAAAAATAAACAAAATTAGGGGGTGCCGCACAATTTATTATAAAGTTGAAAAATAAGGACCAGCCTAATATATATATATATATATATATATATAGATGTTATTTCGCTATTAGATATTTAATACGGTGTACCGCTAAGTCCAGTGCACGACTTCAATCACAATTATAGTTAATATAAGTTTACACCAATTACTGGTCTTTAACGGATATATCCTTAAGTTAAAGCGTTCGGGCAAGAAAAAGAAAGAAAACACAAAGATAAATTTGCAAATGCAATTAGTCGAAATTACCACTAATAGGTAGAGCCGATAATATCTGAACGAACCACAGAAAAACAAACGTTCGCACAGGTGAAATATATCGACCAGTTAAGGTAGTCGTCCGAAAAAACGCAACCGCCAAAAGAACAAGAGAAAACAACACACCAGTTGAGGTGTACGTCAAAAACGGAACAGAACGCAATATCGGTAATCCATATTCGGCGGCGGCCTTATCTCAGTGTCAAGGGCGGGGAGACAACCGATGACAACCGATTGTCATATTAATAGCTGGACGGCTGATATCGAGAGAGACACGGGCGAGCGCCAGCCTAGAGCAAAAGGCGGTGCCGTGTCAACTCCCCCCCACCAAGCCGTCAGTCTATCTCTTGACCCGGCCGGTTTTGTAAACAAATTGTCGCATCATACACAGTAGTTATAAGTAATACACAATTGTAGACTTACCGCCATGTTCCTTGTATGTGTGGATGGTCACTGATATTGCGTTTTAAGACTTACCGTATTAGACTGAAACCTTCAGTCTCGCTGGCAAGAGGGAAAGGACTATTCGGTCCGGTCATCCGTAACCTACGGATGACATAAGGACCGAGGAAATAGAGGAAGGAAACTCCTCGACCGATTACTCGGCTCGAGGAATTTCAGGAGGGGAGTCAGTAGGAGGAGGACAGGGTGCATCCGCCAGAAAGGCTTCCACCGCGAGTCCCAGGTCGTCTTCGATCTCCATGGGAGACGGTCCAACTGCGGTGGAGCTGGCGGTCCGGACGATCTCCGAGAGAGGTGGTAGACGGGTCCTTGGCGCCGGCATCGGGGGCGCCGGTGCGGTTGGTGGGCGGATAGCCGCCTCCCTCTAACGGTCCTTCCTTTCCTTGAAGGCCCGATCGATGCGCTACCTCCGACGTACGTCGGCGGGAGTAAGCTTCCTGTACCCCAGGTGTGCCGGTGGCGGCCAGGTGGCCGTTCCTGTCCCGGAGGACGTGCTCGCCACGTCGGCCGCTCTGTCCCGGTCGTAAGGCGCCGGGGCTGGACGATCGGCGGTCCGATGCCGTCGGCCCGCCGGTTACTGCACCGCCGCGCCAGCGGTAACCGGGCGCTGTGTGGGAGAGGCACCACCCTCCACCGGCACAGACCGCGGGACCACCGGCAAGGTGGCGATAGCCCTTCGGGTTTCGCGAAGAGACGCCGCACGGCCGTCCCTCATTCCCCGGGTGTAGAAAGCGTTCGCGATCGGGTCCCTAAGGATCTGGTGCAACGCTGCGCTCCGGGCCGCCTCGACCGTCGCACGGATCGCCGGGACGTTGGCCAGCGGGACGTCGAGCGCCTCCGCCAACCGGCGGAGGAGGTCGCGCACCAGGCCGTCACGCTCTCCACATTTCCGAAAGGACATGCTGAAAATAAAACAGCCCGTTAGCACTACTATACATCGACAACGGGCCGTGCTCGGGCCGCAATTTGTAATTCATGAAACTATTTTAATTTTAAACATGATACGTGAAGTTTGCGTGGAGGATTTTGATCTGTCAGAAACACCCCTTTGCCTACTTTTTTCGCCAGTCTGACAGGGCCCCATCACACACGAAGCCGGCACAAAATTTTTTTTGTTTATTAGATAAGTGGTGTGCTTTATAATACACCACGTCTCCGACCATAAAAGGTTTTACTACGTGTTTCGTCGGAGCGTTATCTACAATTTTGCCGGCCTGCTGTTTGGGTGATGGACGGCTATTGTTTACATTGTCGGCAGTCGCCGTGTTTACATGTACGACCGCCCAGTCATCAGGTCGTTTCGCTTCTCGGCCGAGAACGAGTACGGAAGGCGGATAACCGATTTTTTCATTCCGACGATTACGCAACGCAAATAGTATCGACGGTATTTTCGTGTCCCAGGTGCTATGGTCGCCCTCAACTAGTAGGGCGCGGAGACCTGTTTTTAGCTCCTGATTTTTCCGTTCTACCGCGGTCGGATAACGTGACAACATGTCCGGTCCTTCGTTGTGTTTCNATGTCCGGTCCCTCGTTGTGTTTCCCGGGTACATGTGTCGTTGTAAAATTCAAATTACCTAGATGTAGCG